CTAATTAGCTTGCTCATTTTCCAATACAAAGACTGCTCGTTTTTGGAGGGTGGAAAAAAACATCCTTTTGGACATGAAGAACAGTTTATCCTCTATGGCAATTAAGTGTTTGAACTGTCCAATTGTAATTTTCCATGAAGGAACAATATATGATCTGTGCACCGTTACAGGACATTGACCAAAATATATATAAATACATAATATAATACACTTTACCTCCATTTTCTTCATTTCGTCCCTATGTTTTGGATATTCTACGTGGACTACAATGAGTGTTTGGGAGCAGACTTCAGCCTTGCTGTCATGCTCACATGAATATATTATATGGCAAAGCTTTTTCATCCACCTTATTGAGATATTTCCTAATGTTCATGGCTACATTTACTGACTTAAAAAGCTAAATTTGTTTCTGTTCTATGTTTTACACTCCCCTGGAAAGTGAATGACAGCTTTTGAGATGTTTTTATGTGAACATTTCAGTTTTAATCCTTACAGAATCTTTTCCTTCTAAAAATCAAAAATATGTGGGTTTTGTTCCCATCAGTTGAATAAATTGATTCAACATGGGTCAGAATTTGAATATAACCAACACTTTGCCACATATACATATATACAAAACGTATACAAATGATAGTTTTCTGTGATGGTCTAGAACAGTTAAAAAAATAATAATTTTGAAGTTGAAACTTTGGTCTTTGATCTTTCTTATGCTTTGTGACCTGATTGTCTCCCTCATGCCTGTGCATTTAGCATTTCGATAAACTTCAAGGGGCTACACATCTTCAGGAGTATCTGCTTTGATGATTTGCTTTAAATCCAGTGCAGTTTAAAGGCTTAATTTGCATTATTTAATTATTTGGATTTTAGAGGATAGCAGGTATTCATGGTTGGGAAGCACAGAGTAGGAATGAGAGATATTTAGAAGAACTTTTAAAAGTTGCTTTGATATTTATAACACTGAATATTGTGGCTTTTTCAGATGGACTGTTGATTTAGTAGTCCGTTTAAACTATTTATTTTTGTACATAATATGGGAAATAGTGCTTCTCTTTTCTATAGTTTCTAATTAAGAAATGCACAAATTTGCTCAGTGTCAGATATGAGTGTTGGACAGTGTATGTTAATTTTGCTAAATTACAGTTAAGAAAACACAACTGTATAGACAAGTGCAGTATTTTTGTCAGTTCTTGGTACAAAAATACTCAGTGGATGTTTGTTGTGGCTTAGAAAGCACAAATATAAGTTCAAACAGAAAAAAATGTATCACATTTTGATAATATAAATTGTAATAGTGAAGGACAATACAAGAAGATGAGTATTCTGTAGTCATGCAGATTAGGTAATCAAATAGATTTTGAAACATACAAAGGTCCAACTTAGCTTGAGAATTAGCTAGCTGCTGTCACAGCATTTGAGAACTGAGTTACAAATCTCTGAAAGCTGCAGAAATGTTACAGAAATTTCAATAAGAAAGCAGTAACAGATACCATTGATTAGTTTATGCTGTTTTGAACCTAAGAGAAGCAGTTATTTTATTAAAGGAAAGCTCTGCATTTTTGAGAGCAATATACAAGCATCTTATTCACGTTATAAGTAGATTTTTATGTGAGTCAATTTCTGTTTAGTTAAGGATAGTAAAAACAATTTTTTAATTTTTCATTTGGGTTTATATCCTCCATCTTTTGGCTGCTGGTGTTAAACTCATTTTCTCAAAGAGAACCTGAATAAAACTAAACTATGTATGACCAACTTATTTATTGAATTTTTAGCCTACACATTTGTAGGCTAAATAGTTTAAGAAAAAACACACGCATCATATTGAAGACTGTGATGTATTGGAAGCATTTTAATCAGATGTAATTTGTGTTCACAGTATGAACTCAGAGCCTTTCAGTTACCATTGTCTAAATGGTACCTTTAAAACTTTATTCACATTGGGTAGCTGAATAAAAGATTTCACATTGCAAAAAGCAATTTTACCATCATTAGCTAAAATAAAAGGGCCCTAGGAAGAAAGGATTATCATATATTAAATAAAAAGTTCACCACCTTATAGCTCTAATCCTGTTAGAAAAGATGATTTCTAGCTAACTTAATCAGCCAGAGGTCTTTATTGCCTGGAGTATTAATTGATTTAGGTCTTCATTAAGGTCAGAGGTACACATGGATGACCAGAGGCAGCCTATTAGCACATTGTCAGTTATGCTTATTTACATTGACTGAGCATAATGGTAGGCTATTTCACTGTTAGGTCAAAGGGTCACTGAATCTTTTGTGTACCCTGACCTGTTAAAGGGCAGCAGTCACTCAGACACCATACTGCCTTCAGAATAAAGGTTTGGTTAATTGCATATTGACTTCACCCTTTCAAAGAAAAGTGTATTGGTTCATATAGTGCAAATATTAACATTGGCATAAAAACCTATAGGTGAATGGTCGAAATGTTTCTATTAAAAAATCTCTGCACTTTTATATTTATGCTAGTCAATCACTAGCAAGTTTTAATAATACCAGTAGGAAAAGTTTTATAAAGTTTCTGTAGTTGCTGTTGGCCTTTGTTAACAAAAACAAGCAAAACAAGAACCAACTCAGTGCAAATCTAGAGGTATCCTGCAATTACAAGTTTATGGGAGCTTCCAGTGTATGATTACACATCCGTTATATTGTAGTTTTGTTTTGGTGCTGAATTTACTGAATATGGAAGTCCTCTAGAGTTGATACACTGTGAATCTATAGTCTGAAAAAATCTTGTGTTATCTTTGAAGATGCTCCAAAAGGATAAACTGTTGCAGCATTCTAGCAGCATTTTGCTGAACACTTTCACAACACAAGGACTGGCACCATACATTGTGACATCTCCTGTTGTTCAGCACTGTGAAAAAGATATTATAAAGTCTTCCCTGTTTTAAATACTTTTTACTCTGCTAACAATTTTCTGTATAATGCTTCAAACACTCTGGAGACAACCTCTTGAAATCTGCTAAAACAGTGTTTTTACTGGTTTGCTACTTTGCCCCTGCTGATTGTTTATTTATATTTGCTTTTCATGACCAAGTCACTGGGAATGAGGAGAACATCCCTCCCCCCCTCTTTACTCTCAATTATGTCCCCCTGAAGTACAGTTGCTCAAAACCTGTGGCCTCTTTTGACCCTTTTCCCCTTCTTCCCCCTTGAATCCACCCTTTCATAGCATAGTAGCATGTTGAGAACTCTGTTTTTCTATTAATTACAGCTTAAGATACAAACAAGTATGTTAGGAACAGAGGGTTTTTTTTAAATTATTTTTTAACGAACTCTGCAAAATTCCCACTGAACCTGAGCCAAAAGCAGTGCCAATTTTGCTCAAATCCTTCTGAGATATTTTTTGACCTTGCTTATGATCAATGTAGCTAATTGTATCAGAACTATCCAAGATACTTTAAGAAAGTGCTATCTTAGTCCGTATTTCAAAACACTGACAGATATTTTATCATTAGTTAGTATTCATATTATGTCTCAAACAATCTGTTCAAGAAAGAGGAAGTGAACTGGGTGAACAGCTCTTCTGTCTACCTAATAATTAAAATGGGTAATGCATGGAAAACCAGGAGCCCAACAGAAAGAGGAAGAAATATTGCCAGTGTGATTTTTTTCTGTAAACTATTAACTACCTGTATCAGAGTTTTTGACTAGTACATGGATTTCACTTAGCAGAGGTAGAAATAAATGGCTTAATTTTAAAACAAACCTGTGCCTCTCTGAGTCATATCTTCTTGAATTTTTTTCTCATCTTGTCAGTATGCCACTTGATAGCTGGCTGGACTCCCTCGTTCAATGGCACATATTTTAAAATAGCACTAGAAAAAAAAAAAAAAAGACCATTTGTTCCTATAAAGTAAAATATTACTTGCATATTTTTTTCAAAATTCAGGATTATATATAGCATTATCAAAACAATATTTCAGATATTTTAAACAATTTAAATTGTTGATGAGTGTCAGTTGATATGTTTCCTCTCTGCCTCCTCCCCCTCTTCAGCTGCTAATCATAGAACTTGTATGCCAAATTGTGTAAGATACTCTTCCAATAGTTACATGTGTGAGTCTTTTGTGAGGCACAGACAGTTATGAGGACAGATTTGGAGTTGCATATGGGTCTGTCACATGGTTTGATTGCCATGTCTTCTAGGACACAGATTTCTTTTTAAATTTTTCTTAATTGTAAAGAATTTTTACAGTTTTTACAGTAAGTTCTGGAAAAAAATTTCTGAAGATATCTTGCTCAGTCCATTTTCCCGCTCTACAGCAAATTGCTTCCTGTGCAGTCTTCAAAGGTGATTACGCCCACCTTACTTCCCACTTCTGTGCTTAGTTTTCTTCTGATTTGGAACAATATTCATTGCTTCTCTGATCAGGGAATGTATAGACCTTGTAGAGAAGTACAGAATAAGAGGATGAAAAGTTCTGATATTTACATTAAGGTTTTATAATAAATCTCTGAGATGTCTGAATCGTAAGAATAAAAATTTCCTTTTCTGCCTCCTTTCAAGAAAACAGGTGTTCAGCGTTGCTGGGAAAATATAGGAAAATCAGCCCAAGGTAACTGCATTGCAGTTTGGTTTAACATATATTTGTGGCATATCTGACCACCCATTTAATTCAGTTTTCAAAAGATAAACCCATCCCTAATTAAGCTTACTTAAAAGAAAGCAAGAATGTATTTAATCATATTAGGGCATCAACACAAACTAACAATCAGTTACGTCGGATATTACTTTGAGGTGATGCATACATCCATATATTAACTGTTAGTTTAAAGTTTATTATGGTGCTGTATTCATGTGAAGTATATAAAGCCCTATGAAAACTGACCTTTAGAATGACGTTCGCTACATTTTTAGTGACTGATAAAGGATCGCAAAGAACAGTAATGCTGAAAGAAATTACTTGGAAAATTGATTTTTTTTTTTTCCTTTGTTTCCTATGTAATCCTATAATTTTATTTATTTTTTATTCCTCCAGGTTGGAGATATTCTCTACTGTGCTGGACAGATTGGCCTAGTACCGTGTACTATGCAGCTTGTTAGTGGTGGTGTGTGGACTGAGGCCACAGTTGCTCTTAGTCATGTTGAGAAAGTCCTCCAGGCTATGAGCCAGAAGACTACGCTACTCCATGTGATCACAGTGATCTGCTATGTAACCGACAGCAAACACATTCCTGTTGCTCATTCTATTTGGAAGAAGAAATTAAGAGATTGTAAAAAGGTAGCTGTGATATCCACTTCCCTCATTCTAAGTTGTCTTTTTCCTCCCTATGTCTTGTAGTAATATCAGAATTTTCTCAGTACATTTCAGAGTGGTTCAAGTAAAGCTAATATAATAAGGTTTGATTGAGCTGTTATGTTCTGGCTCATAAGTGGTTGTGCACAATTGAGAAAGAAAATTGCTTAATAGAAAGTTATATTCATCACTAACTTTGTCTTAATTCCCAAAGCAATATGGAAAAAAACTCTTAAAAAGCAGTCAGTTCCTCTAGTAAAAATGTGAACAATACCTTATTTGAATTAGCTCTGCCCATATATTTTTGTAGAGTAGGAGCAGGGCACTTTAACTTTTTGTTAGTTGTTCTGTTGAGATTTTTTCTCCCATTCTTTCTTACAAGCAATATTGTCATGACAACTAAGTTTAGCATTTCACTGCTTATTATTATTTATTATTCAGCTGAACTTTTATAACAGGATGGGACGTGCCAGTTTACTGGTTGACTCTAGATAATCTCTAACAGTACAATAATTTCCCCAGTGATTTATAATATCATAATCATTTCCGTTATGCACGTACCATTTTGCTTAAATAGCCACAGCATCACTCTGCAGGCATTAAAAAGGTAATGACCGCAAATCTTGTAAACAAAATGTAGCTACTCTATAAATGAGTAAACAAGAGTAGTTACTACATAATTGCTATGGAACTTAATAGAATTTTTTTGTTATAGTTTCTTGGGAGATATGTGGCCTGGAAGCATAGCATACATTAATAGTTAATATTGCCCTGTTAGAAGGGACAATGCTTCCCAAACCTTTTCTTTCTGTTTGAATTCATGCTCAGTCTGTCTGTGCTATGCACTTGTTTTTCTGAGGCAATAGGTAGACTTGCATGAAAGCTGACACAGTTAACATAGATTTTGTAATAAGATATCCTCCTAAGTACCTTCCTCCAAGACTAAGGGTATTGAATTTGAAAGATTCCCAGTCTTCTCTGTAGCACTCTTACAGGTCTGCTAAGATCTGATTTTTCATTTCTGTTTTTACTGTAAAATGTACTGTTTGTTTTACACCTTGCAATTTCTACTCTAGGGCATGCTGTCAGGTGTTTTTTATGTTCTAGTATTTTTCGTGAATGCCTTGAATTTTACAGTATATTTGAAACAGGTCAGTTATTAAAGTTCTTATTTACTTAAAGCTCTCAGAAGTAGCTAACTTGCAGAGTATAGAAATAACCTCATCTTTATGACTGCTGCTGAAAAATGGTAATAACTTTTTATGGTTTGATTTGGAATCACTTAAGGAACTCAGAAAGATACGTTCCTCTAAACAAGACCATCACACAGAGAGCTATTTTATTCTTTTGTAATTCAGTCATGTCTTAGGTTTTTTTTTCTGTAAAGGACATTGTTCCAAAGTTTGTGTCTTATTAAAGATCTCAGCCTTTGTTTTTACTAATTATGTTTATACCCAGTTCTCAGACTTGCCATGGAGATATTAGCATAGTTCTTAAGATGATGTTGAGTCTGCCAACTTTATGGGTTTTATAGATCAATGCTGCAAGCTTTAAATGGAAACAGCAAGTGTGACATCAGTGCATTTTCAATATTATCTTAACAGTATACTATCTTTAGCTGTCATTTTTTATAAGATTTACCATTTCATGATGTCTTTGAGGCTGCAATTAGAGATGTTGCTTGGAGTCATAGCATCATTAAGCTAATTTAGGGTAGAGACAATATTGTCAGAGTTGATCCTGTAAAGCTTGGTCATTTTGAAAAGCTGAAACTGTTTTTTGTTCTGTGACTAATAAGTAACATGTACCATGACCATGAAGCCCACATACTTCCTTATTTGTAATATATACAGGCACAGATTTGAGGGCAGATTGGTAATGTTTTGCTGTTCTTTGAAAATTTTCCTTTTTCCATGTAGAATCTTATAAATACTCTGTAATTATTGTACATTCCAGCTGCTCTTTATATAGTCTTCTAGGTCTTACACTTAATGACATAACTAGACAGTTTCTTCTTAGCTACTTGAGAAACACCTCATGAGATTGCTTGCTTTTGGGTTATTAATAGTATCTGACTCGTGTCACTTTCTGATTGCTCAAGTCATAGCTTAAAGAATGGATTGCTGCCTACACATACTCCTGTGAAGAGTTAGCTGCCTAACAGGCTTTGGGAATGTTTAAAAGAAAACATCCTAGAGGATTTATGTATAAAGCATTGCTGTAGGGTGCTTATGAATCTTGCTCTGTGCTAATTAGGTTTTATTCATTAATGACAGTATCAGAAATAGTACAAAAATATTAGGAGGTGAGTAATATGTACCACAACAGGATCTAAAAATTGGAAAAATTTAAAATATCAGTGGGAACAAGATGGATTATCAGCTGAATATTCCAATTTCCCTATCATTTTATCAATGGATATGGTTGCATTTTTTTCATGCTATGCATGCTTTTATGATTAGGAATTGGTTATGTAAACAGCAAAGCGCAGAAAAAGATGTTTCAAACACTTCTATCGCAAAGAACCAGAGGGAACTATCATTTCCTGAAAATATAACTGATCATGCAATTGTTAATTTAATTTAAATAGATATTCATCAATGAGCTTTTGTTTTGCAGAAGTACTAGCTGCCATATTATTAGGAGAAATGTTCTTTTTGGCTGATTCTACCCTGGGAACAGGGGAAAACAGTAGAGCTTACTGTTAAAATATATTACACTTCTCCTTGCCTCCATAGAATCAATAAAAACAGGAAATGTACTTTTCATACCTCTTAATGTTTTATTTGAAGGAGCCTGTAAGATACTCGCTTTCTGGAAGCCAGAGCACAGTAGCTTTATTCTGAAGGCATCTATGTTTAAAAATATCAGTAGCACATCCCTTATTTATCTTAGTTTTTTGTTTGTTTGTTTTATGCCAATAGTACTACAGAGAGTTCTAGGACATACAGTGGCCTGAATCATAGAATCATAGGAATGAAATAATAGTCTGTTTTCTGCAAGTAAATTAAGTCAGACAAACATAAAAGTATTTTGTTATTCTTGAACTTTATTCAAAGCAGTGGTCAAAGGCATGAATCAATAACAACCTACAGATTGCTTAATAGGAACAAATGATATCTCAATTGAAATTGCTCTTCTGTCAGCCATGGAAAAAAGATTTTATTAGGGAAAACAAGACAATGAATATCATAACTCACTTCTTGTAAACTTGTAGACATTATAAACCATAGTTTTAATTGTATTTTAGTAGAGATTTTAGACTTTGCATTTCTGCTTGCTAAATATTCTGTGTTTAATAGTGAAATTATCATGTATTATGATTGAAGTAATTGTATTTAACAAAGTGACTAGAGCACAGACATCACAACTGTCAAAGGTTTTTTTTGGAGCATCAAAAATTATTATTATTCTGTGACATAGTGATGTCTGGTAAATATCCTCTACATAAATAATACCAGTCCACAATTTCAGTTGAGTTATTATATATATATATATATATATATGCATATAATACATTATATTATATATATATATTATATTAGATATATAATCTATTATATATATAATCTATTATAAAGATATATATTATATATCTTATAGTGTTAAGGATGGGAAGAGGGAGACAACAGCAACAGTAACTAGGCTGGACTTTCTAGTAACTATTTACTTGCTTTCTTCAATCAGTCTCTGACTATGTACTTCCACGTAATTCCTTGCTACTTGCACAGCTCCTATCCATTGCTGCCATCCCGCTTTCCCTCACTCCAGGAGGGAACTCAGTGTCTTTTCTCCAGTCACTGTTCCCTGCAGCCTGACTGCTCCAGTATTGCCTCAAATATTGCCTCTCTAAGCCCAGCCATTAAGGATGATATCCACAGAGCTGGAATACAGACCCTGCCTCTCCTTCTGTCTTCTTCCTACATCAGTTGGAGTTGCAGTGTTGTTGGAATAACTATTCAGGGGCAGAGAAATAAGAAGTCTAGTGGAGGGATGGAAGGTTGTAGTAAGAATCCACCGTTGAGAAAGAAAAAATGAGCAGCAAGGGAATAAGAAAGCAACCCCAGTAAGGACTTACACCAAAGAAACATTAAATCACTGGGCTGGCAAAAAATCTTAGGCTCAGCATTTTAAGTATACACAAGAGAGGATTCCCTTGTTAAAACTAACAGGGCATTGTAGAAACTGAAACTAGATTAAGGGAACCTAGGTACGAATTTAAGTTCTGTGGATGGCTTTGTGGCTTAACCCAGCAAATGGCTAAGCACCACACAATCCTCCTCTGCCTCTTCCCCCTTCCCAATGGGATGGAGGAGGGAGAGAATTGAGAAAAAAAACCCACAAAGTAGAACTCATGGATTGAGATAAAATTACTTATTAAAACAGAGAAAAGGAGAATAATAGACTATATAAATATAAATATATGTGAATATATATAACATGTGATGCACAAATAATTGGTCACCATCTCCCCCAAACAATGCTCAGTCAGCCCTGAGCAGTGAAGAAGATCCAGATGAACTCCCATCCCCTAAAAAACTCCTTCCCTGTGATGTCATATGGTATAGAATATCCCTTTGGCCACTTTAAGTCAGCAGTCCTAATTCTGTCTCAACTCCTCAGGCCCTTCACTGAGAATAGCTTTGGCCCTGTACAACACTGCTCAGCAGCAAGTATGAACATTGATTTGTTATCAATATTGTATTTCTTCTAGAACAAAAACATAGCACCATATCAGACACTCAGAAGAAAGCAATTCCTTACCAGCTGAAACTCAGATAGACAGGAAAGTTTACATTATTATTAAGTAGTGTTCATTGTAGAAATTAAAGTTAAGGAAAGCAGTAATTAAAATCAAAAGATAAAACAGTGCTGTAAAAACAGAATAAAGCAGAATAAAGACGGTTATACAAACATATAATCAAAGCCAAAACCTAGGGAAAATAATTGGAATTAACAAATACAAGTGCCAGCCATCAACAGCT